CACCTATTCATATCTGGAGGTTTCATAACATGTAGCTGCCTTCAGAGGATGACATTAGAGAGAAAGGTGCTCTTTGGCCCTCATTAAAATAAAACAATCTTACTCTGTTTCATTGAGAAGTCCTAGGACTCTGAGCTTGGAACAGCACTTGGAAAATGACTGGAAACAGGAGCCAGCCCTTACTGGATATGTGCCTTTTTCTGTTCTTGTGAGAAACCACACAGTTTTGGCTATGTGATAAGCCTCCAGAAAAAAAAACAAAAAACAACCAAAACCTGTTTGCACATGTTGTCAGGAGTGCAGCTAAAATCTCCAGAGACTCGGTCTGCAGTGAGCACTCTGGACCATGGAAGTGCAGAAGGAAGGCAGGGCTTCCCCCACGCTTGTATCCCTGCTCTATGGACCAGTGCAGCACTCGGCACAGAACCGCTTCCCTCCTGTGCCCAGAATGATCCTGCCTGGGCACGACAGTGGTACGGAGAGGGATCCAGTCTGACTCAAGCAGGGGGTGAGTGCCAGATGGGAAATGGAGCATGGGACTGTTAGGCAAGGGGACTGGAAATAGCAGCTATGGTCAGACCAGAGGAGGAGTCAGGTGGAGTAAGTAAGTGAAGAAAAAATGGGAATCTCCATGGGACAAAGACCAGAGGAAAAAACAAAGAGAAGGCTGGGAATGGGATGAGACTTGTCCTGGGACAAAGCCACAGCAGGGAGCTGTGAAGTGGGAGTCAGGATCAGGTAGGGCACAGGTGATGTAGTTGGGGCCCAATGGCTGATGCTGGGGGCAAGGAGCAGTAAAGCCTACAGTAACTAGAGTCTTGCCCTCCCAGCACCAGGACTGGACCTCAGGGCTGCTGACACCCACAGGCACTTGTGAAACCTCCAGGCAAAGAGTTTCTCTTGTCCCATTGCAGATCCAGCTCTCCTTAAGGAAGGTCACCCACTCCTATCAGTTCCCATCAGCTGAAGCAGCAGAAAGCTGTACAATGGAGTTCAAGTTTCTGACACTGCTAATGGTCCATGCAAGGGCCAACATCATCCTGTATAATAAAACTGTATTTTTTTCCCCAGTGGACTGAACCTTCCCTCCTAGCATTTACAAGGAAAATGCCAAGTCTGTAATAGCTGGGAAATGCCACATGTAACAGCACTTAAACTGGCCAGTTCACATGAATGGGCAGATGATCAGAATCTCAGATCTCTGTAAAATAGGAGTAAAACCCAACCCGGTTCATACTGAGGAGGTGTAAATGAGATTGTTAACAGTTGTGAAGCACTAAAAGGACAAATGTTGCAAGAAGGCCATAGAAAGGAAGGATCTTGTGTTTTGCATAGCATACAGTAATTAAGTTTTCAGACACAAACTGAAAAAGACAGGAAAATGAGGAATATGGAAAACCCCTGCATTCAGCAAGCACTACTCATTCTAGGTGTTGACTGTGTCAGGGCACCAAGGAAAATAAAAATACGTGGTGGCATAAAAACTGCACAGGAACAAGCACAGTGACGTCTCAGTCTACAGCCTGGTCACGGAGATAATGCTACTACCAAGTATGTACCAGGACACCAAGCTAAGATTACATCAGCATCCTGGCTGCTGGTATTTTTTCCCTTTCTGAACATATGCTTTTTGGCAACAACACTGCTGTAATGCACTTTTTGGGTGTGCAGTGACTCAAACTGTCCCCAAACGACATTGGTTCCTTAATATCCAAAGCACATAAAACAATCCTGCCTCAATGACAACAGAGGTGAAGCCGAGAGATGCGGTGAGTTTCGTGTCAATTCTGCCAGTTCTACCCTATGTGGCTGTCTTTACTATCGCTGTTCTTGGTGTTGCTTTGAAGAAAGGTTAGGCCACTTTACTGTATATGCCTCTTCCTGGCTAACCTATACCAGATGTATAATGTCCTCCCTGCTGAATCTGGCCTCGAGACTCCTTTGGGAACTGAACTTAAGACTCCTCAACTGGCTCATCATCAGCACTCCATCTCTCTAGTCCTACTTCAATGAGTGCATGCTGCTTTTGAGCTCCTCTTTAAAAATAGGTTCATCAAAAAGGCTGGAGCATGATCCTAATAACTGTCTTCGAAACAGTGATTGAATGCTCTGTGCAATTAAGTTCTTTCAGAACTGCTGCCTGCCATTTCCTATCCCTTTAATAATTACCTCCTTTTTCTTAGGTACCAGCATGTTTTTCGAACTGCTACCTGTGTGAGGTAGCTTTCACAAAGCCCATCTGTTAATTCTCTGCTAGCAAATTCCTTAAATTAAAGTATCAAAGAGGAAGGAAAGTGGATGCTTCCTAAGCATGGTAATAAAAGCAGTAGGAAGAGAATAGTATGGCTCTCAGGAGGCATGCCTTGCAAATCCAGAAGTTTAATAAAACTCCATACCTTGACTTTAAAAGGCACTTAAAAGTACCATCTATGGCCAGCGCTGTGACAGGGTTGAAGTCAACACAGGCCTGGGACGTCACTGGTGACAGCTACCTGGCCCACTTGTGTCTCCAACTTTCCTTTCAGGTTGAATGGAATAGGCTGCATCTGATCTACCCGAGTAACCAGTGTTGGACTCTTACCTCTATTTAGGTGTCCAGAGCTTTGCCAAGCCCATTATTAAGTGATGAGGTCTCCCACCATGTCCCCAGGGAGATTATCCCACAGCCTACCAGACCACATCGTTAGGAAAACGTTCCAGATAGCCAACCTAAATTGTGTTTAATTCAATCCCATTACTCCCAGCTGTAACATTTGGACCACCCTAAATATGCCCATATTCTTCCGCAGAAGGAAAAGGATGAGAGCTGGTTTGAGTTACGTTTGCGTATCATTTGTGGTAGCTGTTCTCCTGCCATCCTCCTTGCTTGGGACTGGAGTTCATTTTATGAAAGAAGGTCAGTGCACCACTGGCTCAAAGAGCTCTTGTACCCTGAGCCGCCTGGGCAGTGTGGCCAGGACTTATACGGCAGAGCAGGGAGCACACAGCCAGTTCTGCAGCAAAGTCAACTGAGGGATTTGCTTGGGGCTGTGTTGGATGATTCAGGGATATTTCTACCTTTGATGAATCCTGGCTGATGCTTTGGAATAAGGGAATGCTGTATTTTTATTTTTTTTAATGTTTCTGGGAAGGTGTATGCAGCTTTGCTGAGGAGGTTTCTAGCATGTAACTCCCAGACTAGGGTCAACAGCCAGCTGCTACCGCTTACGTCTGCTGAAGTGTGATCAGCTTGCAACAAAAGGTGGCTCCAACCCAAAAGAACTAGTTTTTTTTTCTAACCTGGCCATGGAGGCTCGAGTTTGAAGAAGGAAAAGTTACCAAACAGAACAACACAGCCAAAGTCTTGATGAAAGGGGGAGTATGGAAACAGACTTATAGGGCCACACCAAAAGCTTGGCACAAGATACAGGAAGTCTTGGGCAGGGGAAAGGAAGTCATGGCATGCTTTCACAGCGAAAAAGAGAGGGCCCAGTTTACTATGGGACCAGCCAAGGTCAGAAGAGACACACTGGGCTGGAAAGACTCCACAGTTCAGGAAATAAGTCATGAACTTCGCAGACAGATCCCAGACCACCGAGGAGAACCTGACCCCCAGCCCAAAGAAATTCCAGAATGGTTAGGAAACTGAGGCAGGGAAATGAACTGAGGCTTTATTATTTTTTCTTGCTCAGCATAATGGTGTATTCATAATCTAACTGAATGTGTCTTTGCTAACGTCAATCTTATGTTTCTGAACACTTTAACTACAGGGCCCACAGACTCATTAAGAAGTGGGTTGAAGCTTTGGAGAGGTGAGCAGTAGACTCTACAAGAATAGGCAAATGAACTATGGGTTACAGCTCACTGCAAATAAATCTACAGACCCTAAAAAATATTCAGACAAGGATGACAAGGACAATCAAGAATAATGAACGGTTTCCATACTAAAATCAACCAGACTAGGATCTGCATCCTGGAAGAGACTACTGAAGCAGATGTGAGTGAGGTCAAAGGGTGATATTTCTGTTTGATATAATCTACTAAAGAAATCAAATATATTCCTATTGCCTCTAATATTACCTAAATCTACACCCCGTCTCCTCATACTTCACACTGCAGTTAAACAACCAAACGTGACCCGATTCGATTCAGCTTTCCTAGTGATTCATGCAGATGTGTAGATGTGACACTTAGGGGACATGGTTTAGTGGTGGACTTGTCAGTGTCAGGTTTATGGTTGGACTCAATGATCTCAAAGGTCTTTTCCAACCTAAATGATTCTGTGCTCAGGGGAGGACACAGATGGAGCATCATGAATATTTGCAAATTTTCAGTGATAGGGGGCAATGAAACCTGCAAGGGCCACTGATTCAAACTGATAAGATGGGCAAAGCATGAGTAGGCACAGACTCTGGTATACAGGGACCAAGACCACAGGGCACAGAACACTCACTGGGTATTTCCTACAGTATCTGAGACATGCAACTGCAAGATCAATACTTTGCTTTCATGAGTCTTTTTAACTTTTAGTTTCATTTAAAGGAAAATTTGATATGCATAGCTGACAATAGGTTATGCTGTACTACATTAAGTGCAAACTCTTCTCTGTGTCAGGACACTTACAATTGGGAATCTACCCACAAAGATGAAGTGAGCAAACAAATCCCGATCTAACTAAATAACTTCACATGGAGCCTGCAAAGGAACTCACTTTTGTCCTCAGTCCACACCCTAGAGCAGGGATTTGCCAAACCCCAACTATAAATATTCATTAAAAAGCCCTCTGCTTGGGATGCAGTCACCGAGACAGCCATTTCCTGCCCATTATCTCTTAGGGCAGGAAATCAACAGTTCCACTCAGGCGGTTACCACCAAGCTCGCCACGCACACTTCCCACTGAATGGCTTAACTCTGCCCAAATGAGGGCCACGTAGTTGTAACCTCCCTGAAGCCCCAAAATAGCATTTCAGAGCAGTAAAGCATATCTGAACATAGTTGCCCTTGTGTTTAGTACTAAGCACAGCAGCTCCTAGGATGATATTCCACCTCAAGCTTTTACTTGCAGCAAGGTGAATGGGAGCACGCTGGCACCGTGGGTTGGTAGCATGTACAAAGAGAAGGAAGTCTGCAGGGTCAGTAATTTGACTGCATTGCCCCTGACACTGACAAAGATTACTAAGTCAAAATAGTGGCTCTTTCTGCTGAGGACAACTTCAGGCTGATCTAATTGTGGTCTCTGGGAAAAGACTGTCTCAGCACCCAATCTTGTTCTTTATAACAACAAAAACAGAGCTTTTCTGCCAACTTCAGAGGAGCAAGTCCCTGAACTATTCTTATGCCAAGAAGCTGTACTTTCCATGAAAAACAAATCCTAATATTATAGGACACCACACTGTAGAACTGCCACTGTTTACTGGCACTTCACGAAGAAGCAGGAAAAAAATATCGAGGAAGAAATCCTGAAAAGGATTACAAATGCACTGTAAATAGAGCTCCTCTACTTACCTTTGGTTTCCAGCCTCTGATCGCTTCCAATCAAACAGTCTTTGATGTCTGCACCCTTCTCTATCACGGCATTATGACAAATAACACTGCCCTGAAGACAGCACCTACAACATGAACACAAAGTAAAAAGCAAGAAAATAATTTAAAATGACAGGTACAAAACAAAGGTATCCAACTGAATATCTAATGAGCCTGTGACATGATCCTGTAAGTAGGTTCAGTTCTGCTCTTTTCTCAAAAACTCCACTATTCTTCTCCTGATCTTCACACACAGTTGCTGGAAAAACTGAAATGCCAGCTGTCAGAATGCGTTTGCAAAAACGGGTTTCCAGTTTTACCCCCTGTTAGAACAGCTTTCCTCTACATTTCCTTAACAGAATAAATACTGCCAGAGGATTTCATAGATGGGACACTGGCCTGGGATGTGGGACCTGGATCAAGTCTCATATTTTCCACAGACAGTCTGGGTAACTGCAGGGGTGGCTTCTCCATTAACCTCCCCAGTTAAAAAGAGGAGCAGCAGCCCAGTTCTTCCCTGCAAATTTTGCTGAGAAGTTGCATACATTCCAGCTTGCCAGGCAATAAGGAAGAGTGGTGAGAAGGGGCAGATCAACACCTCAGCTGGTTGGCTTTGTTCATGTTACATTCAAGCACGCAAACATGATTACTCTGCAGTACCAAATCAATGAAACCCACAGTGGACCTGCTCTACCTGCCTTGACTATCTTCACACTGCTGTAGCCTTTGATACCACAAAGTCTGAAATGCTTACATAGGATGGAACTTCAGCAAAAGTCATTCTCTTCCAAAATGTATCTGAATCTGTGATAACCAGCTTTCAAATCCACTGATCTGATTGTCCAGATAGGAAAGAAGTTCAGAGCCCAAGTGCTGGCTTTGTAACTCCTCTGCTGAGAGATGTTGCGTGAGTTACTGCATTGGTCTGAGCCCCTCCATGCAGTAAAATGGAAGTTGTGAACCTTTACTAGTATCTGTGATGTGTCCTGAAATGCTCTTCACTCAGCATAATGAGTGTTAAATGGCATTAAATGTAATTTCTTTCAAAGCTACAGAGAAAAAAACAGCTATGATGCAAATTATTTGTTTCCTTATTTTCCCTTGTGTAAAGACAGGTAGAAGTCACTGAAGGACAGAAAATTTGAAGGCACCCAGGTACGAAGTGTCTAAAAATACAAAGTCTAACACACATTAAAACCAGGTGATTGGGAGGGAGGTATAAGCGAGATATATAACCCCAGAGAGATGTAGGCAATCTGCTTCCCCTTATTAATCCAGCTGTGAACCATCGTATTTCATAGCTTCTCCCCAGTATTTCTGCTATTATTAGTTACAAGAATTGTGGATATTTTTGTTATCCTCAGCTGATCTCTGTCTGAAGTTTTTGGCCTCAATGATATTCTGCATGGCGAGTTCCAGTTTAATGACCCGCAGCCATTCCCCACCTTGGCCAGAGACATCACCACTACTCATTGCATGAGTGAAACACAGCTGCACTGCACCATCGGACTGGCTCGTGGACAGAACTGCTACCCTGGAGCCTGAACTAACAGGTCAAAGCCCTGAGCCTCAATTCTGTACTGAATGAAGAGCTAGCTGGCTGTGGTCCTCAGGAGAAAAGAGAAACCTCAATCCTCCCTCCAGACCGCCAATCCTAAAATTAATTCCCAGTATTTCCTTGCTCACCCATCACTATTATCTAGTATACACAATTTGCCATTAAACATACTACAATTCTGTTGCTTGTGTGAGTCAGAGCAGAAATCATCTGCCCCACAAAACCGGCATTAATTCTGCTGGAGTAAAAGCAATAAAACCGGACCTCAGCCACACTGGTTAGTACTACGACCCCTCTTGAACAGACTGTCCCCTCTGAACAATTATTCTTTTAACTCGCTTAAAATCCTCCTTCTCTGACCTATAAGGAGGCAATATGAGCAATTATGCTGCAAGTAACCAGCTCAGGTTGCCTTGGCAAGACTTTTACTAACACGTTAATAAGATAAAAAGCGGCAAAGATACATAGCAGACCCCTGCCTGCCTTTGCTCTCGCACTGTCATGATCCGCTTCCTTTCCAATAGCTTCGTGTGCCTGTGCAGCAGCTCAGGCCATCATCTTGCACAACAGCAGTTGCTGAGAGCGAGAGCACTCGGCATTTGCAGCCAGGCCAGGGAATGAATCGGTGGAGGGCGGACTGCCCACCACTGCCATCCTGACTTGGCTTTCAACAGGACTAGCAAAGCCGATGGGAGAGGTTGCTCATTTCCCACTGAAATGGCTCCTATCCAAAATGTACACTCCAAAATACTTCCTCCTTCATCACTTCGAGCCAGTCAGATGAGAGCTTTCCCCTGCAAACTGTTAGGTTCCCACCATCTATCACTTCATCTGAGCACGAGAGCAGCCGTGAGTACACTACACCTCTTGGCATTATCCTCACAGAGGAGGATATTCCCCAGTGGAGAGAGGATTTAAGCTCGTGGTCTGGAGTTCAGGCTGGAGAATACTGCATGTGTGTTCAGAGCCTACTGGGGGATAGCTTTTCAACTCCTGGAGAAAGAACAGCATTGTAACCAAGAAACTGCTGATGACATTAACATCAAAGATAAGGGGGGTTCCTGCCAAACCATTTGTTGGGAGGGACAGGCCAAGGAACCAAGATGGACTTGTCTGTGCCAGGTGCTTGCAAACCAACCCTTCCCCGGTGCCAGGGTAAAACAAAACCCAAGAACTCTCTACCACCCCAGGAGTTTCTTAAAACTTACAAACCCAACCAACTGCAGAAGTTTTAAAACCATACTCAACGCTCAGATTACCCCAATCACACAAACCAGCAACGAATCCGGCTTTTATTGCTCAAGTGGAACAAAACTTCAAGAGATAAAAACACAATTTGTGGGTGTTCCCTTCACCCGCTGACAGATGTAACACAGCCATTTTGAAACCACTTGTAAATGCCTCTTTTTTTTTAAAAAAAAAGTATGTTAAAAAGCCTGCCAAGAGAAGTATTTTGTGTGTTTATTTAATTTTTACTATTTTTTAAAAATGAAGAGTAAGGAATAAACTTTTATTGTTTTGCAGGATAAATATCACATCTCAGAGCACTCTGCTGTATTCTTGGCTGAACATCCACCACAGTTCCTGCCTTGCTTAACAATTAGGTGCTATTAGTCCTCAAAGGTGCTCCGACAGCATCCAGCTTCACCGACACTGTTGTGTGTGTGCACACGCGCACATTTGATGTACTGCTCTATAACGCAAACCATATTCTTTTTTTTCCCCTGAAAATGTAGTATATTTTTAAACTTTTCAGCACGGTGAAAACGGATATCTTCTGACCTTAAAATCCAAAGAGCATGTTCAAACCCACAAGAGGAACTAATTTGGGGCATTTGATTTATGGCTGAAATTTCAATTTGAATTTGTTTTAAGTGTAATCACAAACTGAAAGTCTGGCAGCTGGGTGTTTTTCAGAAAATAAATAAAAATATTCAGTGTGCGTCTGCATTCTAGAGAGAACATTTTACAAGCCCAGTCCTGTAGTGGGAACAGATGTAGCTAAGACATTAATTTGTTATACAGGTACAACGTGCGAATGGAAGCATATGAGAATGAGCGTGCGTGTACGTCTGTGTCTGTGCACGCGTGCGTGCGTGTACGTTATGCGCCTGTATCTGAACGACAGAGAGGCTGACTTTGGGGTGGGTTGGTGGTTTTTTTTTTTGAAAGTGAGAGAACAAGAGCAAAAGGAGTAGTGGCCAAGGAGGCATGGGGGGATTACAAGGATTTAGGTCTTTAAACTGCAGACCACCTAACAAGATCACTCTGAAATGCCACTAATTTCAGTTAAGGCCACAGACCTCCCTTCCTCTGCCCTCCCTCTCTCCCCCATTGTAAACAACTAATCCCAGCAGAAAACAACAGAGAGCAAAATGTACACACATTCTGCAACATTCCAGGTCCTTCTTTATCTTTTATTTATTTTTCTAAAAGGTCAGCATATGTATGGAGGGAGGGGGGAGGGGAAGAAAGCCAAAAAACCTCAAGTCCATCTCTTGTGTGGGCTTGAAGGAAGCTGGGAGAAAGCAAAGTCCAAGAGCATACAATATGGAGCTTTTATAGCACAGCAATTCCTGGACTCGGCTTACTTTCCCCTCCCTCTATTTGTGGCAAAGTCACATAGCTTTAAACCAAAGGACAGGGTGGTCGATTACATCTGAAAGAAATGTAAAGAATCGAGAAAGAATTCAATCTCCTGTCGAAATTATAAATAAGGAAGTATTAGTCCCAGAGACAGCCTGATTTATGCAGCCCTGGAACTGCTGACTTTCAGCCTGAGTATCAGTCTATAAATCAAACTCTTAAATCAAGTGTGTCAATCGCTGCAGCACTGCGATACTTAGGAAAAGCAAGGCACCTACCACTGAAAGCAGGAAGATTGCCAGGGGACTGAGTTGCCGTACCCTTCTTAATTTTCTGAAGTGTAAATCTGAGATCAAACATCCTTTGGGGGAATGGGAAATCAAAATACGCAGCGCTCAGCACACCAGGAGCAGGCTGCAGGAGTCCAAGACACAACCCCCTAATTACAGGCTACCCACTGATTATTTAGGACTCTGTGATTAAAGTGATGAACACTCCTGGGAGAAAGGGGCTTAAGTAACTGAGGTCAAGACCTCAGCTGCAGCTCTCGCCCTAGTTGTGCAAGCTTAGGAAGGTATGAATGTCACAGGTTTGCCTTAACAGAAAATCTCCTGAAATGCCAATGGAAGCTATCCAGGTCTGCTAGTTTAATCCAATTGTGCCAAAACCCCGACATAATCTCTGTTGGGCAGCAGAGCAAATGAGGTGTCTAAAATGCAACGCTTAAAACTATACACTCACGGGGAAGAAAGAGCCTGGAGCACAAAGCTTAAGAGAGCCTGTTGGAAATGCTCTGCCACGCCAAGAAGTCGGGTCTCTTGCTCCTCCAGATGAGCTATGAAATGGAGAGACTGATGCAGGAGTTAAAAGCAAAGGGTGACATGCCTCGGCAGCTACTTTGCTGACTGAGGGGTAACAGCTGTTGATTCCCCTGGGAGCAAC